TATGGAGTTTCTAGGTCTTACCTAACAGGTATACCAGCATCCTTTATTGAGTTTCTAGGTCTTACCTAACAGGTATACCAGCATCCTATATTGAGTTTCTAGGTCTTACCTAACAGGTATACCAGCATCCTTTATTGAGTTTCTAGGTCTTACCTAACAGGTATACCAGCTTCTATATTGAGTTTCTAGGTCTTACCTAACAGGTATACCAGCATCCTTTATTGAGTTACTTGGTCTTACCTAACAGGTATACCAGCATCCTTTATTGCCTTTGCAGTGCCACCTGATGCAGCTAGCTTCAATCCAAGGGCAACTAACTCTTTGGCAAATGGAATCAAGCCTGTCTTGTCCGAAACACTTATTAATGCTGGAAAACGATGATAATAATTGAATTAAAAGAAACGCAGATATTTTGAAATTTAAGGAAACTTATGTACTTTGTGTATCGTGTAATTCAAATAATTAAAGAGTACATGCACCTGACACTAAAAAGCAGTTTAGCTGTTGGAACTGTAGATGTTGTAGCTGTTGGAACTGTAGATGTTGTAGCTGTTGGAAATGTAGATGGTGTAGTTGTGGGAACTGTAGATGGTGTGGCTGTGGGAACTGTAGATGGTGTAGCCATAGGAACTGTAGATGGTGTAGCTGTGGGAACTGTAGATGGTGTAGCTGTTAGAACTGTAGATGGTGTAGCTGTTAGAACTGAAGATGGTGTAGCTGTGAGAACTGTAGATGGTGTAGCTGTGGGAACTGTAGAGGGTGTAGCTGTTAGAACTGTAGAGGGTGTAGCTGTTAGAACTGTAGATGGTGTAGATGTGGGAAATGTAGATGATGTAGCCGTGGGAACTGTAGATGGTGTAGCTGTGGGAACTGTAGATGGTGTAGCTGTGGGAACTGTAGATGGTGTAGTTGTTAGAACTGCAGATGGTGTAGCTGTTAGAACTGTAGATGGTGTAGCTGTTAGAACTGCAGATGGTGTAGCTGTTAGAACTGTAGATGGTGGAACTGTTAGAACTGCAGATGGTGTAGCTGTGGGAAGTGTAGATGGTGTAGCTGTGGGAAGTGTAGATGGTGTAGCTGGGGGAAATGTAGATGGTGTAGCTGTGGGAAATGTAGATGGTGTAGCTGGGGGAACTGTAGATGGTGTAGCTGTGAGAACTGCAGATGGTGTAGCTGTGAGAACTGTAGATGGTGTAGCTGTGGGAAATGTAGATGGTGTAGCTGGGGGAAATGTAGATGGTGTAGTTGTGGGAACTGTAGATGGTGTAGCCGTGGGAACTGTAGATGGTGTAGCTGTGGGAACTGTAGATGGTGTAGCTGTGGGAACTGTTGATGGTGTAGTTGTGGGAACTGAAGATGGTGTAGCTGTGGGAACTGTAGATGGAGTAGCTGTGGGAACTGTAGAGGGTGTAGTTGTGGGAACTGTAGAGGGTGTAGCTGTGGGAACTGTAGATGGTGTAGCTGTGGGAACTGTAGACAGTGTAGCTGTGAGAACTGTAGATGGTGTAGCTGTTAGAACTGTAGATGGTGTAGCTGTGGGAACTGTAGATGCTGTAGCTGTTAGAACTGTAGATGGTGTAGCTGTGGGAACTGTAGACAGTGTAGCTGTGAGAACTGTAGATGGTGTAGCTGTGGGAAATGTAGATGCTGTAGCTGTGGGAGCTGTAGATGGTGTAGCCGTGGGAACTGTAGATGGTGTAGCTGTGGGAACTGTAGATGGTGTAGCTGTTAGAACTGTAGATGGTGTAGATGTTAGAACTGCAGATGGTGTAGCTGTTAGAACTGTAGATGGTGTAGCTGCGGGAACTGTAGATGGTGTAGCTGTTAGAACTGCAGATGGTGTAGCTGTGGGAACTGCAGATGGTGTAGCTGTTAGAACTGCAGATGGTGTAGCTGTTAGAACTGCAGATGGTGTAGCTGTGGGAACTGTAGATGGTGTAGCTGTGGGAACTGTAGATGGTGTAGCTGTTAGAACTGTAGATGGTGTAGCTGTGGGAAATGTAGATGGTGTAGCTGTGGGAACTGTAGATGGTGTAGCTGTGGGAAATGTAGATGGTGTAGCTGTGGGAACTGTAGATGGTGTAGCTTCCATCCATCCATAATCATAATGCAAGTCTTTTCTGAGAATTGAAAATTTAAAAAGACAATCTCGATCTGATCAAACAAAAAGTTTACAGACGGATGGACGGACGACGCACCATCAGACGACTTACATAGCATAAAATTCAAGGCGAAAATTGGGACTCTTACTTCACACGGAGTGGAACTTGAGAAGGTTGCTGTCGCCATTTTCCGGACTTGTGCGGGGCTATGTTGTTTATATCTAATTGACAACTCGGTCAATCATGTGTGATTGTAACTAGACTCTTTTCGATTTTAAGGACGATTTTTCAAAATAAGTATCACATAATAAATACCGCTATGACAAAGATAAAGTTGATGAAATCATTTGAACATGCTAAACTATCTTTTCTTTGAACAAACAACTGTTACACGAGTGAAACACTAGAGAGCCATCAGTGATCAAGCAGACAGCGGGAAGGGACCGATAAAACAAATCCACCAAAGGAATGTATTTTGTGAATACAAATAAAAACAGATACATTCTTTAGAGTCTACTTAAGATCACAATTGTAAAAGTTTTAACTGTCATTGTAAACTTAGGTAAATTGACACTTACCAAGTTCTCCAGAAGCCATGGTTGTTTCAGTGCGTCTGGCAGCACGTGTTAAGCGGATAGTCAGCCGAAGTGAAACTGAACTCGATAACCTCGATTTTCATTGGTCGCTGAACAAGAAGCGGAAAGTTCATGAACTTTCAAATTTTGCTCCTTGAAGGAGTATTTTTTTCATTTTTTTTCTGAAGATTTTCAATGAAATTTAGTATTTCACCATGGACTACATGTATACTATACAGACACTGTGATTTTACCGAGCGCTCCATCTTTCGTGCAGTAATTAAAAGCAGTCTGTTACCAGAGACGATATATATATATATACGTCTCTGCTGTTACTTACATGAGGTCACGAAATTAGATCTTGACTTTGCACAAAGACTAATAACAAAACGATATTGTCGATAGCATCGGATACTACTGGGAAAATGGTCAGCGAACCATGCCTGTACCTTGCAAGGTCAGAACGTGGTACGTAGCAGCAAGAATGACAAATATCAATATAACAATTTAAAATGCTTTCAAATCAGAAAACATTGCAAGAAATTAATATAAATAATGACACACTAAACACATTAAAAAAATACATTTTTTGTTTATATTTCAAAATGGAAGTTTTAATCGAGATTTTTTCTTATGATTGCCAGATAGTTAGTGTTATACTTATTTACTACCAAAGTAGATCTAGAATGGTTTTTTTCTTAAGAAAATTGAATAAAGAAACAAAATTATAATAATACATATTTATAAACATTCATGTTTTATTCCACTCTGACAATTAAATTTAAAAAAAAAAAACAAGAAACAAGTTAGGAAATATATAGATAGAGACCCTTGGAAAAGTACAAGGCGGCTGGCTAAGACTGGAAGGGCGTCTGGCTAAGACAGGTTTCTGACCCAGTCGACTAATTGTGTGCACCATGACATGGTTCAGACCGCATGCGTCGCAAAATAAACTGAAAATCTGGAATGTTGACACCCGTCTGAAAAAAAATCTGGACCGCCCGTGTGATGAATAGGAAATGAGAGTTCTAAGCCACTTTATCTCTCCCTCTATATCTATAGTAAATCCCTCCCTGACGGGATGGATCAGCGAGGGACCAGTGAGGGATGAGGGACTGACCCCTTGACCTTGTGAGGGACTGACCAATGACCTTTCATAGGAATTCCCTCTCAAAATAGATTGAATACCCCATAGGGAACATTGAGGGACTGCCTTGCGTCAAGTCTATTTTTAGAGAAACCGGTTCGGTCCGCTTCTATATTGCGGTATCGTAGTATTTTAAGCCCGGTGTGGGTTTTCCCACTTTGTGTATTCTAGACACCTTTACTTATAAAAGCGTTATCAGTTGAAGTTTAACTCTCCAGCTGTGTAGACGTATGTACATACACACTCGCTACTGAAAATATACACAGCAGACAGCTTTTGAGAAAAATAGTGAAAACCAGTCGAGCCTCTCTTTACCTGTAGAGCACCAATATCTCGCTGTCAGTCAAGGTGTATACATCTATATCAGCTGTATATACACAAGTAACTGTCGAATGGAGATGGACAGACGTCATATGCATGCAATACAGACTGTAGTTGAGTTTGATAAATGGGCTGAAAACAATGGTTTGTCTACGGCTACAGACACAGAGCTCAACTTGCGCCGTCTTTCTCTCCTCGTCGAACAAATTTCTACGCCGAAGAATTCAAAGGAAAACAAATGTGATGTTTGTGACAAAGTTTTTAAACAAAAATCTCACTTACTAAGGCATAAAAGAACATTTCACGGTGATTCGACAAAATATACATGTTCTCACTGCGGTATGAGCTTTAACCGTAAAGATAACTTCAATCGCCATATAAAATCACACAAGGAAAATACACCACCAAACAAGAAAAGAAAAGTAGAAGAAATGCTTGACACTACCCATTCAAAATCCCCGAAGCGACAATGTACCGGAGAAAGCAGTGACGCTGGAAAAGCTGACAGTAAAACAGTTAAAATTGAAGGTAAATGTATATGGTGTACAAGAATGAAAAGCTTACTCCCAGGAAAACGATTCTGTGCGCCGTGCGGAGAACAAGGGAGGGAGTGTAACTGGTGTCACCGCCCACTCCCGGAAAGGTTTTATGGGAGGAGGACAGACGTATGTGATCGGTGTTTGACACGGCGTGAAGCTTGGACAACTCGTCAACAACGCGGAGGAGGAATTGAGGCACTTGAAGGGACGGCTCAGTCGGAGACTTTGGATCCAAACCCGGGAAATCTTTGGGACATTTTACAGTTCTTTAGTGACAATCACACGGTGATCAAAGACATTTTGGAAGAAAGACTTCAAAAGGTCAAAGGTATGAAATGGTTCCTTACACTTTTTGTTAAATTTGTGAAGTATGACCAAAACAACGAAGCCATTTATGCCGAACCCACATTTAGATCTATAAATTCAACAAGTACAAATGTATCTCAACTAAAAGAAGGCGTCGCAGAGGCTTTTCAAAACCTACACAGTGCCTATCAAAATTTTGAACGGGATGGGAGTGGGTGGACGATAGACAAAATTCTAAAACTAGAGGTTAACACAGTAGAATACACACCTTTAGAGGGTAGTAGCTACATACCACTTCCACCAAAAATCCAAAAGAAAAAGGCCGTTCTTAACATACAAAATACAGATCAAAAGTGTTTCCTGTGGTCAGTCCTCGCAGATATACACCCCATATATACGGACCATCCAAAACGCGTGACACATTATACACATTACGAGCAGGAGTTGGACTTGAATGACATCGATTTCCCCGTCCCCTTGTCACGGATTTCGAAGTTTGAAAAACAAAATGACATCTCCGTCAATGTTTTAGGGTTAGATGGGGATGGGGTGTATCCATTACACGTGACCGACTTACGCAACAACACTACTAGACATGTGAATCTTCTCTTGTTCTCTAAAGGGGAAAGCAGACACTACTGCCTAGTTCGAAATTTGAGTCGTTTGCTTGGTGACCGAACCGCACACAATGGTCAAGCGTATTATTGTAATTATTGTCTCCACGGTTACACAACCCAACAGCTCCTTGACGATCACATTCCGTACTGCTCCCCACATGGTCCACAAAAACTTAGTTTTCCGAAAACCGAAGAACAACAATGGGTCGTATTCAATCAAATTCATAAGCAGCTTAAAGTCCCTTTTGTGATTTATGCTGACTTCGAAAGTTTTCTCCACCCCATCAGTGCATGTGAACCTAACCCAAACACATCATCCACAACTAAGTATCAAAAACATGAACCTTCCGGCTTTTCCTACTTGGTTAAATGTTCAGCCGATGAACTATCGAAATCCGCGCAGGTCTATAGAGGTCCTGACGTAGTTGATAATTTTTTCACGCAGTTAATTCAAGAAGAGGAAGCTATTTGTCAAATCTTACAAAACGTCAAACCAATGAGCTTGACAGAGGAAGAAGAATCTTCCTTTCAAAAAGCTACGACATGTCACATCTGTCAAAATAAATTAGGAGAGGACAGAGTTCGCGACCACGACCACTTAAATGGATCATTTAGGGGTGCTAGTCACAATCACTGTAACTTCCAGTTTCAGTTTCGACAGGGTAAGAGATCACAGGGATCAAAATTTTACATCCCCGTGGTATTTCATAACTTGCGTGGTTATGATATGCATCTGTTAATGGAATCGGCGGGGAAATTTAAATCGAAACCCTTGTCTTGTATACCAAACAATATGGAAAAATACATGTCATTCTCCCTTGGGAATCTGAGATTCATAGATTCCTTACAATTTCTAAATGCCCCGCTTGACACACTGGTGTCAAATTTAGCAGTCGAAGGAATAGATAAATTCCCAAACTTGTCAAAGCACTTCCCAAAAGAGGAACATCTCAAACTTCTTCTTAGGAAGGGAGTGTATCCGTACGATTACGCGACATCACCCGAAAAGTTTGACGAAAATAAATTGCCCGGAAAGGATCGGTTTTATAATAAACTGACAGAGTCAGATCTATCCGAAACAGATTATGAACACGCACAATCGATCTGGCATACATTTGACATGACATGTTTTGGTGAGTATCATGACCTTTACCTAAAGACGGACGTATTGCTATTAGCCGATGTGTTCGAGAATTTTCGCTCTATCAGTCTAGACTATTACAAACTGGATCCGGCCCATTATTACTCGGCTCCTGGATTTTCCTGGGAAGCCATGTTAAAAATGACCGGGGTAGAACTTCAGCTTCTAGATGATATCGACATGGTACTGATGGTTGAAAAGGGTATTCGAGGTGGTGTGTCAATGATTTCAAAGAAATTTGCACAGGCTAATAATCCCATGTCGCCGGAATACAATCCGTCCAATCCAAACACTTGGCTCACGTACCTTGACATGAACAACCTATATGGCACAAGCATGTCTGAATCTCTACCGGAAAAGGACTTTGCATGGTTGACACCAGAACAAATCGCACAGTTTGACGTATCTAATATTGACGACAATGCGGACACGGGCTACATTTTGGAAGTTGACCTTGACTATCCGGTTCATTTGCACGACAAGCACAACGAATATCCCCTAGCACCCGAGAACATCAGCATTACAAAGGACATGCTCTCTCCACATTCTCTTAAGCTTCGTGAGAAATTGAATATCAAAGGTAAACCTTCCAGAAAACTTGTTCCAAATCTCTGCTCCAAGCAGCAATATGTTCTCCATTACCGGAATTTGAAATACTACCTTTCTAAAGGTATGATCCTTACGAAAATTCATCGAGTTATTGAATTTACTCAATCCGCTTGGCTGAAGCATTACATTGACTTTAATACAATCAAAAGAAAACAAGCACGAAACAGTTTCGAGAAGGACTTTTTCAAACTTATGAACAACTCTGTATTTGGCAAAACAATGGAAAACATGAGAAAGCGAGTTTCAGTGGAACTTGTCAATACACCAAAACGACTCAGAAAAGTGTGTGCTAAACCAAATTTTCAGTCTTTCAAAATTTTTAACAAAGATCTTGTCGCCGTCAACATGAAGAAAACAAACATTGTTTTAAATCGGCCGATTTATGCAGGGTTCTGTATTCTAGAGGTATCGAAGATATTCATGTATCAGTTCCATTATGATTTCATCAAACAAAAGTATGGATCAAAAGCAGAATTATTATTCACTGACACGGACTCCCTCGCATACAGTATAGAAACACCTGACTGGTACAGAGACATGCAAGACAACGCTGACCTGTTTGACACAAGCAATTTCCCAAAAGACAGTTCTATGTTCAGCATGAAAAATTGCAAAGTCCTCGGTAAAATGAAAGACGAGTGTAATGGTCAAATCATGGATCAGTTCGTTGGATTAAAACCCAAAATGTATAGTCTGACGTGTGGGGGTGTAGAAAAACGTACAGCCAAGGGAGTGAAGAAATCTGTTATTGAAAAGCAATTGAGACACCAAGCGTACTTACTCTGTCTTTTTGAAGAAAGCAATTGCAAACATAAAATGAATCTTATACGTAGTTTTGATCACCAACTCTATAGTATAACGGTCAACAAGACCAGTCTGTCTCCTTACGACGACAAACGGTATTTCACTGGCATAGAGAGTTTGGCTTATGGTCATTATAAAACTTCACAGTGATGAACCATTTCATATCAATAAACGCTGAAGTTTTTATAATGTTATCGTTTGTGCAACTATATAGATGTCATTTTGTTTTCACAAAGTATGTATGTTAATTAATGCTAATTTTGCTTGATGGCTGTAAATGCTATAAGATTTGTTTGTACATTACTTCGTTTAAATAAGCACCTCTTGTTCTATGATAAGATAGTATATATGCATGAAAGTAGGAAATGTCCTAATGTACGTCTGTAACATTGTCCTTATATATTTTGTAAATTACTTTTAAAATAATCACCTCTTATACTATACGGTACTAGGTATGCATGAAAGTATGAAATGTCCGTCTGTTTTAATAAAAAATCCTTAAATATCAGTCAATAGTTTGTGTTTTCTATGGTATTACCTTATCAATACAGAAAGAAGAACAACGACAACATCGGAAGCTTTTACAAGTTTTATTAACCATAGGAACTATTTACAAGTGTTCTTAATTATTTACAATCATAATTTTGAATATAAAATTAACTCAATCAAAACTTTCGGGCTGAAAATTTAATCTAATCCTCAGCTTCACCATCGTCTTCATCCATTTCATAATCATCCTCATTATCCGACCCCTCGGAATCAGTATTAACACTCTCCTCGTCATCAGTGTCTTTGACGGAATCCAAATAGTCTTCAAATCGATGTTGCAATTGCCTGAGAGTTACTCGAATGGCCTTCTCACTATCCATACCCTCAGCCATGTAGTTTTCAATGGATTCTATAACCTCCCCGTGTAATCTCCCGTGTCTTAACTGCAATAAATAGGATATCAGTTTTCCATAGTATCCTAGGAATTCTTTAAGGTCCTCGTCCTTGAGTTTCATGTCAGCCTTCGATTTAGCCTCGGAATGTGAGATTCCTTGATTCTCATACTTCTCTAATTTCTTTTGCCATTGTTCTTCGTTTTTCTCTCTGGCTATTTCTGCAAACTGCATAAATACGTCATCTTCATAGTCATCATATGACTCAATCGACGTGTCGCTGTCTTCCGAGATCATTCTCTCGAATTTCATCTTTTTGTCAGGTAAAGAATCTTCCTCAGACATTTTCCTCTTCAATGGAGATTGATCGGGACACCAATTCTTAATGTGTTTCTGGAGATCATGCAAGTTTTCGAAGACAACACCACAATCTTCACAGCTGATCATATTGATATGTGGCTCTTCTACTACAGAAGTTAAATACTTGTCTTCTTCAGAGACTCCTGAATACGTCTGCACGGTAGGAGTGTTATCCTCAGAATGAATCGAAGTAATATTCATGGGTCCTTTTATAGGCTCGTCCGAGAAAACATTACGGCGCAGACGTAGAGATTCAGGGGTAGTGGGTTTCAGATCCACCAGTAAATAACCGTATGGTTTGTCTGTAGCTTCTTTGAATTGTCTCATTAAGTGCTTTGTATTCTCTGGATACATTTGCCGGGCCAACGTCATGATTTGCTGCTTATCCACGGGGTTATTAAACATCACTAAATAGTGACAATTTCGTCTTTGAGTAGGATCCCTATTATAATAAAGATTTTGATTAAGGGCGATGACGGATAGGTTTCTGTGGTGGCTTCCCTCCGTAAACAACTCGTTGACCCGTGGATCCTTAGATGCTATGGACATTAGGTCGTCCAGTATGACAAGGTTTCTAACACTCGGATTAATGAAAGAATCTTGATCTAGGTCGAGGGGTATCCCCTGTATAAATTCAACTGATGGGTATACAGATGCTTTGATGATGTCATATAGAGGTTGCCATCGTTTGTAGAGCCATATGATTCTTTGAGGAGCTGGTGTTATTTTTGTCAAACAATTTTGAAGCATAGTTTTGACAAAGTACGTTTTCCCAGAGGAAGTAGGACCAGACACGTTAGCTGTGAAGGGATGTTTAAAAACAAAGTCCCGATGCTGCTGCTGCAGCGGCGGCGGCGGTGGCGGTGGCGGTGGCGAGGGCGGCGGTGGCGGCTGCGGCGGCGACGGCGGCGGTGACTGTAATCCATGCGATGGAGGCAACAACTGTACCTCCTGCAGCGGCGGCGGTGGTGGTGGGCCCGGCGGCGGCGGCGGATACGCATGAGTGATTTGCGGATATGGTTGACTGCCCCCGTGAATGGTTTTCATGTGTCTTAAGAGAACATCTCTTCGTGAGAACCTTCTGTTACACTCTGGGCACGATGTACACTGCATAGCTGTTAAAATGGAAATGAAGACAACTTCTATATGGTGTCCTTTTTATAGGTCTTGGATGTCGCTTTCTTTGATCCAGTTGTTAATTTTTTTCGGATAACCGAGCCATTTCACGTAGACTTCCTGTATTCCATTTCTCTTGCGTCGTTTCAATACCTTTTCCACCTTAAACAGGTCGTCTCTTCCCTTTCCGACCTTTTGTAGCTCACTATTATAAAACGTCCCTGCTATCGGATCTCCCTCGTAGTCAACGATTTTGTAAACGGGTATACCTTGTCGGAGGTATCGCGCTTTAATGGTGAACACTTCTTCTGTCCATTTCTGTTCATAATCTCGTTGAAACGTGCGTCTGTTACTAGATATCCGTACCACATCTCCTATTTTAAACTTGAAAGGTTTTGAGAATTTCTTTTTCCTTGTAGTTCTAGCCTTCTTGTGATCTACATACAAATGTTTCCATACGAGTGCTTGGTTTGACGTATTGATTTCGTCTGGAGATTTCCCATCAAGTGCACTGTGAGGCCTTGCATTGTAATTCCGGACGATATCTTGCAAAACATCCAAGTAATGATAGGACCTGGTGTGCGTGAAATAGCGGTACATGAGTGTTTTCAATGTTCTGATCACCCTTTCAGCATAATTTGCATGCGTAGCGTTATGAGTGACGTAATGGTCCACCCCTTCTTTATCTAAATACTGCTTCACCCATCTATTTCTCCATTCACTTCCTGGATCCGATCTCACTTCTCTAGGTTTTCTGCCCTGGTTAAAAATCTTTTTGAATCCATCGATGATTGTGTTGTGAAGCTTGTTTTTAAGAGGAACTATCCATAGGTGGCGTGAAAACACATCAATGGCGACGAATGGATAACGCATACCATCGTTTTCTTTTCCTAGGTTGGATACATCAGCAAGATCAACATCCCATAAAGCATCCAGACCCTGAGATATAACTTTCCTAGTCCGAAACTTGTAACGAAGCGGGCGTTGTAAACTATAGGCGTCAATATCCTGAAGGAAGTGACGAATAGCATGAAGGCCGACCTTGCACTTCCCTTCTTTTCTTAAACATTTGTAGATATTTTCTGGTCCTGCATAACTAATGGGACTACTCAGGTCAAAGTAGATACGGTTCAAGTGTTCTCTCCAACTCATGGTTGCAGAATGGAACAATAATAAGCTTCTCGCAGTTATTTATACTGAGCGAATATATGTGTCTACATGCCATAACCAGTTGCTCTAAAAATAGACTTGACGTAAAGTAATCCCTCAATGTTCCCTATGGGATATTCAATCTTTTTTGAGAGTGAATTCCTATGAAAGGTCATTGGGTTAGTCCCTCACAAGGTCAAGGGGTCAGTCCCTCATCCCTCACTGGTCCCTCGCTGATCCATCACGTTAGGGAGGGATTTACTATAAATATAGAGGGAGGGATAAAGTGGCTTAGAACTCTCATTTCCTATTCATCACCCGTGCTCAACGTCATTCATGGCTTCCCTATTAACTTGGCAAACGACGAATGCGACATAATGGTTAACTTAATTTGGTATCTAGTGCACTTCGTAGTACACACGTAGTGAACAAGGAAGTGCACTTTACAAAACATTGAAGTGCATTCCAGTTCACTTCAGTGTTAACTCCAGTTCACTTCAGGGTTAACTCCAGTGCACTACGATGTTAACTCCGGTGCACTAGTGTTTACCAAAGTTTGAAAGACTGAAGTACATATTTCAATAATTGTTTATAGTGAAATGGGTTCCTTTGTTATATGATAATTGAAAGGAGAGAAAAGAATCATTCAAACGATACACACAAAAAAAATATTACTTAAAATTTCAACTGAACATATACATATATTTACATTTGCCCCCGCCCCGTCCCATTGCAACAGTGTTAGAGGGCAAGTGTAATTATATAGGCTATAATTACAACTGCTCGACTATAATTACAACTGCCTGTTTCAGGTGTAGGAATATGTAAACAAACAAAATGGCCGCCTGAAATGTATTTTGAGGCAGGGCAAATGTTTTGTGTAGGAATATGTCTTGAAAAAGAAAAATATGTAGATATAAAAAGATACCTGGTTGTCTTGATGTAATTATTGTGGTTTTATGGGATTTGCCAGAGGCCACTTGTAATTATATCAACAATAATTACATCCAGACAACCAGTTATTGTTTAAATACAAAGAGAACTTGTACACTATCTCTGGTGAGTATAGAAAATCTATAGATGGCTGTACTATTTCAGAGGGAAAAAATAAAAGTACACTTTATTATAGTTAAATTCACATTACATTTCATATCAATGTTGTTACGTGTCAGGATGTGGGTAAATGTACATGACTAGCTGCTAGGCCGATACATGTCCTTTGATGATTACAGGGGAGCTACGCCCAGCTTTTATTCAAACTCGGATGATTTTTTTTTCTCTCATCAAATCCAAGTGTTGTTCATCTAAACATTTTATTGCAACACTTTGTATGCAGGAATGAAAACAGAATAATAAATGTAAGGTTTTGGCGCCAATATTATGTGATATATCATTAACATAATTTTATGGTACATTTTTATTTACCCGTTTTCTTGTTATTCCCAAGCCTGTTGCTGGAACATAATTTTGATGATTGCCTGCATGAAAGCATCCATACAGAGCGCTAGGGACAATACAGAGCGCTAGGGACAATACAGGGCGCTAGGGACAATACAGGGCGCTAGGGACAATACAGGGCGCCGGGGACAATACAGGGCGCTAGGGACAATACAGAGCGCTAGGGACATTTGTTTCCTGTCCACGTATTTCAACGATATATATTGTTTCAGATGCACTTTTATCTCATGTGCATTCGCAAGCAGTTTGTCTCTCTACAATATCAGAAGTTGGAGCATCTTCGAAATTCCAGGATTTTTCTCTTGGTACACCTAGCTATTCTCTCTACACCCCTAGGATAAATACCAGGGTCTCAACGTTCTACAGTCGTCCTAAAGGTGATAAGCTTAATTAGAGATGAGCGCAAATTTTATTTTTGTTTATCTTTAAAACACGGGGTACCAGACAATGCAGAGATAAACTTTACCTCACAAAGTTGAAGGCTCTGTTCGCTGCACATTTCTCGTTACTAGTTTGACCAATCATGTACATTTCTCGTTACTAGCTTGACCAATCATGTGCATTTCTCGTTACTAGCTTGACCATATCATGTACATTTCTCGTTACTAGCTTGACCATATCATGTAAATTTCTCGTTACTAGCTTGACCAATCATGCGCATTTCTCGTTACTAGCTTGACCATATCGTGTACATTTCTCGTTACTAGCTTGACCATATAATGTACATTTCTCGTTACTAGCTTGACCATATCGTGTACAGTTCTCGTTACTAGCTTGACCATATCATGTAAATTTCTCGTTACTAGCTTGACCAATCATGTGCACTTCTCGTTACTAGCTTGACCATATCATGTCCATTTCTCGTTACTAGCTTGACCAATCATGCACATTTCTCGTTACTAGCTTGACCATATCGTGTACAGTTCTCGTTACTAGCTTGACCATATCATGTCCATTTCTCGTTCCTAGCTTGACCATATCATGTACATTTCTCGTTAGTAGCTTGACCAATCATGTACATTTCTCGTTACTAGCTTGACCGATCATGTGCATTTCTCGTTACTAGCTTGACCATATCGTGTACAGTTCTCGTTACTAGCTTGACCATATCATGTCCATTTCTCGTTACTAGCTTGACCAATCATGTGCACTTCTCGTTACTAGCTTGACCATATCATGTACATTTCTCGTTAGTAGCTTGACCAATCATGTACATTTCTCGTTACTATCTTGACCATATCATGTACATTTCTCATTACTAGCTTGACCACCTCATGTACATTTCTCGTTACTAGCTTGACCGATCATGTGCATTTCTCGTTACTAGCTTGACCATATCGTGTAGATTTCTCGTTACTAGCTTGACCATATCATGTCCATTTCTCGTTACTAGCTTGACCAATCATGCGCATTTCTCGTTACTAGCTTGACCATATCATGAACATTTCTCGTTACTAGCTTGACCATATCGTGTACAGTTCTCGTTACTAGCTTGACCATATCATGTAAATTTCTCGTTACTAGCTTGACCAATCATGCGCATTTCTCGTTACTAGCTTGACCATATCGTGTACAGTTCTCGTTACTAGCTTGACCATATCATGTCCATTTCTCGTTCCTAGCTTGACCATATCATGTACATTTCTCTTTACTAGCTTGACCATATCATGTACATTTCTCGTTACGAGCTTGACCAATCATGTACATTTCTCGTTACTAGCTTGTCCAATCATGTGCATTTCTCGTTACTAGCTTGACAATATCATGTACATTTCTCGTTACTAGCTTGACCAATCATGTACATTAAAAGAATTGTGCGGCATCATTCAGGGGAAAATGACTGGTCGTCGCTCCTCTTCAACGGATAGGTACAGTGTAACTATCCGAAACCAGTCAAATGACTAAGCACGTGGCTACCTTCTTGTCCCGACATATTTCAGGGCTGTATATTATATATGTGTCCTTGGATATTTTTTTTTATACATTTGTTGGAATGTGAAATGTGACTGGCTATTCTATTTTTATCGGTAAGATAGCTATTTTAGTGTTCAAACAAGAGAGGCAAACGGGCCTGTTAGGTCTCCTGTTATATACTTTTATGTGAGTCTCTTACAAACTAGATTTCAGATTTTTATTTCTCTCAGACATACAAAGTATGTAACAAGAGGTCAATGTATATCATATTCATATATACATGGCGGATAACAAAGGCATAAAGGCTACAAACTAATTACGTACATTCAATAGCTTTTCAAGTTTTTCTAGAAATTTGCTAACATTTTTTAAAACTTTTACATTGCATATAGTAAATAGTCCACGCATTT